TTTATCATTCAGACATCACATCTGTATCCGGTCTGTAAAAGATCCTACAGAGCTATTTATTCAAAACAGTCTAAACATATGTAGAGCATTTAAATGACTAGATAACACCTTACTACCTTTATGAAGTTTAAAGTAGAATGGTTCAGCTTTTGAATGAACCACAAATCGAGTTATTTGGAGCAGAATTGCAAAAGTTATTGAAGTTTTTAGACCACAAAGTATTGTCTCCATAATCATGACCCAAATTTCAGGTATTGTTACAGGTGGGTTGTTGATGATTTTCAGCCTTTATTGATAGTAAATTAACCAATATCTGTGTGTAAAATACAAAAAATACTCATCATGACGCCCCAACATCTAGGAACAAGGTGCATATTTTTTCAGATTTTTAGCTCTCTTCCTGTTACCTGAGGATTTTTCTATGTCAGTAGTTTTCTTTACTGCCTGGTAAAGATTACATTTTGTGTAGTGTATAAACAAGAATACATTGCAACGTATTGGTCCATAGTGGAAACATGAATTCGATTCTCATAACAAATAACTCAAAGAATTAGTACAAAAGAAGAGTGGAACCAAGGGAAGATCTATACAGTTCTTGCTTTGTGTGCAACTTGCTAGCTAACTTGATTGAGCAGATAAAGATGCTTATATTGTACATTTCAGTTCAGTTCTAATTAGTAAAGTTGAGGATCTATTTGATGTAATCTGTTTTTGTGCTGTTTTCAGAAAATAATGAGCTCGTTTGTTGGCCGTGCAAACGCACACAAAGGATCTCCTGAGGGTGAGAGAAGAAGGTATATAACAGCCCAGGGTGCTGGAGACTATCTATTGCCGGTCTACATGGAAGAAGAAGTATCACAGGGCGGTTCGGGTTGGTAGTGAAGCGAATAGATGAGCAAGGTGTGTCCTTGGTAAGAGTTCAATGATCTGGTTTGTAAAAGGTGGTATAGGCCTTCTGATTGACTCATTTTGAGTGTGTTGCTGATTGGCGTATCATGTGTCTCAAATTACCACTAGTAATCAGTTGGATGAATCTCGTAGTCTAGGCTAGTGTGGTCAATTGTACTGTACTGTTGAATCCCAGAGCCACAAATATTGAAATGGTGATCACAAAAAACATGATAACTCGCTGCTCATCATGAGCGTATTTGGTAAAGAATCCAAGATCATGTTAGCTTAGAGTCAACCTTTTCAATATGAATTGGGAAGACTAACTGTGCAAGTGTTCAGCAAGAGGGATGTCTTTGATAAACTCACTAAACAAGTGAATTGCACCATCACTCTTGCAGTCCAGTGACATCAAGATTTGTAGAACGTATCTGAGTCGTGCCTCAATTTGTCCTTTCAAGTGTTCGAAGACAGCAAGCTCACGACGTAGAAATGTGGGTAGATGAATTGTCTGTGGTCTAGGGATATAAGAGCATGCTTTGTTTCCTGAATCTCTTGTATTTTTGAATCTGATAAAGATCTAGTAGGCGGTAATGGCTGATGGAGTTGATGAGTGGATGTAGAAGGATGAGACTTGTTAGGTTGGAGAAGTGGAAGTGGATAATATTGTTCGTAGTCTGCATTAGGGCCAAGATGATGTAGGAAGTGATCGATGGTAGCTAGACAGAGTGGACATTTTCTTGAGGTCTGAGACCAGACTAAGATACACTGAAAGCAGTATTGTGAATGATAGCAGGGTGCAATGATAGTCTTTTGGTTGAAAGCAAAAAGGAATTGTTCCAGGATGAGCTGAATGAGTGTGACCATTGATAGTTGATGTTTGATTTTGGACTTACTCTGTCTTTTGTTTCACTCAAACAAATTGAACATTTCTCAGCTTTGTCTTTAAGTTGTTCTTGTCTTGATGGATTGAGTTGTTGATGAGGATAACTTGACATTGGCTTCAGTTAGGAGTCATTCATTGTTGGTCTTGAGGTTGGCCAGCGACACATGATACTAAGAATTGTGCGGGTAGAGAGATATGCATGCGCCGCACTCACATGGTTGCCACCTAAAACCAAGACCAAAAGGCCAAGATGAAATCCACCAAACTCTCAAAACTAACATCCTGCATAGATTGACCAATCACATATACAATCTCCCAATAAGATTCTCCTGATGTGACTCATAATCCTTGCAGAGACTAGGCTTTGTGATCCTGAGATGACCTGGTAATTTCACACCAGTATTTGCTTCAAATAGAGTGATTGATGCAAGAAAATAGCCACCAATGAGCTGACATCTGGATCCGATCATAATTGAGAAGAAGTATGCCAGAACTTGGAGGAGACAACTGATGCTGATGGAATGATCAAGTGAATTGACTACCTGGCTTCATAAACTTGATACATGTGTGCATTCAATTAGTTGTCCAAGTTTAAGGGCTGGTCAAAAGGTATTGGATAGCAGACTAGGGATCAAATTGGCGCTTTGGAGTCAAGTCTTGAAAGCTTCATTATGGATGCTCTGGAGCCTTGAAGAGTGTGAACAGTGGAAACTTGCAATCTTGACTGATCTGCCGAGTTTCAATTGTTTTTTGACCAAGAGAAAAGTCAAAACTGCATTCTCAAACTGCATTGTGATTGTACAGTCCCCTACCAGAATTTTACGTAAATATTAATGTATTTTGACCTCAGCCCAGAGAACTTTTGTTCTTGAAACCTGTTTCCTCACAACTCACACATCGCATTCATCCTGAAAATCATGAAAACTCAATCTTTGACACCAGAGGAGAAGGCTAGGATTGTTGGGATGCATGAAGGAGGCCTGCGGGGCATGCAGATTGCAATTGAATTAGGCTACCCACCAACAACGGTATATACTGTGATTTCAAAGTTCAAGAAAACCGGTACAATAACTACTCAAAATCATGCTGGACGACCAAAGAAAATCACAAAACGCGATGAACAATCCTTGAAGCAAATCCTCAAGAAAAACAGAAGGGCAACATTATCTGAAATCACCAAGCTCCTTCCCACGAAAGTCAGCTCAACAACTGTCCGGCGGGTAATCCACAAACTGGGGATACGTTCATGTGTAGCGGCCAAGAAGCCAGCCCTCAATGACACACACAAAAAAAGACGGCTAGAGTTTGCTAAAAAGTACCAACACTTTATTGTTGAAGACTGGAACAGGGTAATCTGGACAGATGAGTGCTACTTTGAAATCAGCAAAAACTCCAGACAAGTTTTAGTCTGGAGAATGCCTCATGAAAAGTACCTTGTTGACTGTCTAGTTCCTACTTTTCGAAGTGGTCAAACATCAGTGATGATATGGAGCGCATTCACAGCAAATTTTCGACTCCCAATCGTTGCAATGCCTCCAGGCCGTACTCTTTCATCGGACTACGTGGAGTTGGTCTATGAGAAGTGTCTTGCTGAATTACTTCGCAGTCCTCATTGTCCACCCAATCTGATACTCATGGAGGATGGAGCTCCGGTCCACCGAAGCAAGAAAGCAAGCACTTGGCGGGAACAACATTCCCTAATTAAACTTGACTGGCCGGCAAATACTCCCGATCTCAACC